TTGTTCTAGTATGTTTGTACAGTAGCTGGGTTCTAGTCTGATTGTACAGTAGTTGATTGTTCTAGTCTGATTGTACAGTAGCTGATTGTTCTAGTTTGTTTGTATAGTGGTTGATTGTTCTAGTATGTTTGTACAGTAGCTGGGTTCTAGTCTGATTGTACAGTAGCTGATTGTTCTAGTCTGATTGTACAGTAGCTGGGTTCTAGTCTGATTGTACAGTAGTTGATTGTTCTAGTCTGATTGTACAGTAGCTGGGTTCTAGTCTGATTGTACAGTAGCTGATTGTTCTAGTCTGATTGTACAGTAGCTGGGTTCTAGTCTGATTGTACAGTAGTTGATTGTTCTAGTCTGATTGTACAGTAGCTGATTGTTCTAGTTTGTTTGTATAGTGGTTGATTGTTCTAGTCTGTTTGTATAGTGGTTGATTGTTCTAGTCTGTTTGTATAGTGGTTGATTGTTCTAGTCTGTTTGTATAGTGGTTGATTGTTCTAGTCTGATTGTACAGTAGCTGATTGTTCTAGTTTGATTGTTCTTCCGTCCTAGACCTGATTCAGCACTAATGTATATTGATGATTCAGTGTTACAGTTTATCCGTTAAATTCCGTATTCATTGGTAACTGAATGCAAATTATTTTGTAGGAAATGTTTTGGATAAGAATCTATATAAATTATTTTATATAAAATATTTTCTTCTAGTGTAGGAAATCAGTTTTAATAGGTAATTGACTAGAAAGTATGTTGTTTAAAGAATAAAATTATCTTTGAAATTCATTGCCAACCTAATACAGTACTATCACATTAGATCTTATTATTTATAGCATACCGTCTTTATGTACGTGTATGTCGTCTACAGATGGATTTTCTAGTTTACGTTGTATGGAATGCGGTATAGGGAAGGAATGGAATAAATATTCACACATTGTCTAAGATTAATTGATCATAAGATGTACCGTTTTCAATGATTGTGAGACTTATATAGTGTTCAAAACTATTACTTTTACCTTCTTTAATATAAAACAGTAAACTGCGGTAACATTAAAGTATGTTTAAACTACCCGAAAGTCATAAAAAATGAAAAAATACACTTTAATTTTAAATTAACTACGCAGTTCATAGTTATTATTTGGTACCAAATTTTCTCGCTGGAAATTCATGAGTCTTTAAGTGGAATGGGTATTTTTTAATACATTGGAAAGAGCCACGTACTTCAATTCATACCAGGTTTTTCTGTTAATTATGTTTATAACATAATATCCTTTCTTTTAAGGTAATGGATATGTTACGGTAATGTCATTAAATGGACATCAATTAATATCTTACCTTCATTATCCTAACATAAAGTAAAAATACGATGAGACAAGAACAATATGTTGACTTACTTTATGAATTATTCCCTGTAATCTTCTCTGAGAGCATGTCATCCAGGTGAGCTATTGATCCGGTCCAATGTCAATCGTCTCATTTGGTTTGATCAAGGTATGTCCCAGCCACCTCCATTTCCTCTCCCGGATCTACTGTACATCTTCTGTACAGTTTTACTTCGGCTTGGTATGTAGGCCTATCCCTCCCAAGTTCTTCATTTGAGATGGTGTCTCAAGTCAAAGGCATATTGATGAATACTTGCAGAATTTAAGTAAAGGCATTATTCTCTTTCTACATTTCACTTCCAAACAAGACTGACTTAACGTTGGTGTTGAGGTTTCAGAGCTTGGTGTTTTCGATATGTTGTGATTGCACCATTTAGGATACAACTGCACAAAAGCAAGTTGACTTTCTTCATAAAAAATGCAAATATTCTTTAGTTTAAGGGAAACCGGACGTCAAACAATTTTTTAACAGTTTTTTTAACAATGTTTTCCATACATACACCAAAGACACACTAACTACGCAGTGTTAAATATATGGCGTGTACTTAACAATTAAGGGGGGGTTTGAGGAGGATACCGTGTGCTTCGCACGGGCTGGCTAGTATTTACATAAAATTATATTCAATATAAAAAGGGTTATATATCTAATAAGGTTTGCGTATTTTTAATTGTCTAAGCCAATATGTACAAGACCATACAATACATGAATGTTACCAATGTAACTCGAATAAAATCTAAAAAGTAGGAAAATCTCTTCTTACTTTAGGAAGAGTTTTTTATAGGCCATATAGGTACATTATTTTTCAGTCATAACAAAATTAAGCATAAAGCCAAATGACAAATGACAAATTCTTTATTTAACCTGCCCTGAGTTAGACCAAAGGTCCACTCTTCCCCCAGGACAGGAACAACAAATATACAAACAACATATACATTTAGAGAGTTGTGGACTATGAAAATCTAAAATTTACTTTTAATAAGTTAAAAACCCAAATTATATAACAACACAGAAGTGTAAAAAAGAAATTAGCTTACACATACAAATCAAAACATATTGCATTGATAACTAAAGATTTTGTCACCTAAAACTAAAACTAAAGATGTGGAAAGGTATTAAACAGCATAATAACAATTTAGAATAATACAAGCTGTTTATAACGTAAGCTAATTCAAACCAGAGTGGTGCGCCTAGCGTGAAATTGACATTTTCAACGCAAATTCTCTCATTTATCCTTCAGGTGGATCATTATTACGCTCAACTTTTATTCTTTTTATGACAATTTAAATTACACTACGCATTTTATAATTATATAATATCTCGTATTTAACTGGCTTAAAAGTAAAACGGATTTAAAATCCATACAACGATCTGGTAAAGATTTTATAACAAAGCATTGGCTCAATTTTACAAAAAAAGTTATCTTACATATTTTTTTTATTTAGTAATACCAACAAAATCGATTGGAATAGATGAAAGACTATCTTGTATTCAATAGCTATCATCTACTCTGAACCCTAAACACTACTTTGTATTTATACCCTAAAATTTATATTTGTATTTTTAAACATATATAACATTCTATCTGTTATAGCCGTGCTTTGCAACGGGAAGAGGACTTGAAATATAATTATTTTGATCTTTACATCTGTTGTATTAAATACTTACACATCCGCCAACGCTTTTAGAAACCAATCAATATTTACTTTTAAAATCATCACCTCAGAACTTTTAAAGCCAAATGGGCAAAGCCCACGGTCAGTATCAAAGTGTGAATAGTCCTATTGCCATCCTTGGTATGGTAGCTATATTTTTGTGAAGTTTAAGCCCAGTCACTTTAGTAGTTTTTACATTAAATAGTATCACACATACAGACATATACCACTAGATTTTTATATAACAGTATAGATTATTTAAACAAAATAAAAAATATTTAATAGAAAACGTATACAGTAAATTAAATACAAATTAAGTTTGTTTAATGACATTCCGGAACACGACAAAAAGGAAGCCACGCTATATCTATAACTTTGTAAACTAATGTATATTCTCATATATTATATGTCGAAGGATTCTCTGAAGCTTTGTCACTGAAATCAAATCCACAGTGAAGGAAATATTGCGATGTGTACAGTCCCCAGGTCCCTAATCGCGCCCTTTACATCTACATATTCAACATATATTCCCTTTCTTCTATCGTTGAATGCACAAATCCAACATGTAATACTATAAACCGTGTCCAAATTTAGAATTGTGTATATATTGTCGTTGCTGGCTCGACATCATCTCTTACCATTGAAATTAACATATTTTAGTGAAAATATAATCATGCAAATGGGAATCCACTTAGTCTGCAGGTATGCTGCTGTAGGGGTATGTTATTACTGTTTTCACAAAAATATACAAAAAAAAAATAATTCTCGAAAAACTCAGGAAGGTATGGAAACGGCAATAGAATCTTACTTATTTTATCAATGAATATTTTTTTTTCCATAACTTATTTCATATGACTTATTTCATTAAATTTATTTAAATCAACTGTGGAATTGTGAAATAAAGTGAATTTTGACAGTTCTGCTTGTTTACACTTAAGCATGAGTTTGCTCTTTCCTGCCATAGATACCAATCAATATCTACTTTTTAAATTCTCACCTCAGAACTTTGATGGCCCACGGGGCAGAGTCCTAGGTCAATATCGAAGCGGGAATAATTCTATATGTATACTCGGAACTGTAGCTTTATCTTTGTCCAATTTGAGCACGGTCGGTTCCGTAGTTTTTGAATTTAGCTCATACAAACACACACACACAGACAGACAGACAGACACCACCTCTTTCTTATATTAGTATAGTTATTATAAGGTTTGTTTATGTTTTGGTACAATAATGAACAAAGACTAACATATTGAATACAGAAGATTTGAATTAACTTTGGGGTTGGTGAAATTCAAAACCACGTAGCGGCTGGAGGCTAAACTCTCGCTTAGATGGAATACCTACGTAGCCTCTGCATCTTTGAACAGTCCCCGACGTTACGTAGTTCCAGCATCACTGACTCTGAATAATTAACACACCCCTTCGCCATACATCGATCACTAGTTTATATGTACAGGAGAACACTGTTTATATCACATTAATTAATTATGTCTCTGTTCCAGAATCGTCAAGACAATCTAAGAGTTTGCAATGATTCCATGGATTATTGTGTTCGTTGCTTGCAGCCTAAATACCTTTAGTACGAAGGAAATCCAAAAGAATGAAAAGGAGATTTTAGAAAATGAAATTTTTGTTCGGGAAGATTTCATAATCGTTAACCTGACAATGTTAAATGAAAAAGTGGGTAAGAATTCTGATGTGGAAGCACAGATTGCAAAGCCAAACAATAATGAGATTACTCTCAAGCATTATGAAAAATGACAGTCGCCATCCTCTCATAAACATAAAAAGTTGTATCTTGACGTAACTTCCTCTTACCTTCAAACGTTACCGCCAAAAATACAGATTAAAAAATACAAACCATACTTTGTCAAGGACCACCGAATAGCAAAACAAAGTAGATCACATGAAGAGAAAAGAAAACATCCAGAACTTATGATTCAAGGATCGTCACAAACTAAATTAAAATCAGTCAGTAGAATGAAGCAGCGTCTGAGGTACAAACGGAATGTAAATAAAAATTGGATTGCTTTAAGAGATGTCAAAAGTAAAGTGGAAGCTTTAGCTCAAGAAATCCCATTGTCTCTAAATAAGTATATAGGTCCAAGAAAAACGGCCAAAAGATCTACAGCTGTAACAGGATCAGCAAGGTACACGTCTCTAGGAGAAACTTCAGCTCCAAGAGGTGCCGAATCTCTAGAAGGAGTTACATCTGTTGCAGCGTCAACCAAACCCCTGTGGCCGGTACGTCGTGTGTCAGAAGTTCCTGGGGACTTGGTGTTGGGTGGCCTCATGATGGTCCATGAGAGGTCAGACACAGACACCTGCGGTCCAGTCATGCCTCAGGGTGGGATACAGGTAAATTCAACATATGTACTACTTAACTACGTTTGAAAAGCACGAAATTTGAATATAACTAACTATATTTGACATTATGATAAACCGAGTTATTTACAGGCTCTGGAGACGATGCTCTTTACTCTGGATGTGATAAACAACCGCAAACTTCTGCCCTTCACGCTCGGTGCTCATATTCTGGACGACTGTGACAAAGACACTTACGGGCTTGAGATGGCCGTAGATTTTATCAGAGGCAAGTAGTGTATGACTTGGTGCATTTTCACTTGATCTTGTATTTTCATTGAAAAAATACGCAACCTGTTGAGATGGACATAAGAGACGGGTTAAATATTTAATATTTAATCAAATCAATCTAAAATGGACCTTGCCATGCGTTGAACCAGTTTGTAAAAAGTGTAAGGAATCTTCAACATTATTACTTTCAAGATAAATTAATTTCATGTTAATCAAAGGGTTTCATATGATTCAACCTTTTGAAGAATAGGAGGATTTTTTCAAGATGAACATGACCATATCAAATTATAAGAAGGGGCAAAAGGATGCACGGTTGGTCTATGCTTTGAAATAACAAGTAATATATTGGCTCATTCTTTTGGACTTTAGCAAAGTATTTTAGGTAAACCATCTAATTTATTATTTGATAAAGTTTTAATCAATGACTCGACCATTGAGTTATACCATTAATTTCTTTACAATGATTTGAAGTATGTAAAAGCTGTTTGATAGTTCGAAACTGGAACCAGCTGTCCCTAATGATAGGGTTTAAATAAATGATCTTGACTGATAAAACAGGTGATCTTAGTCAGTGACAAAGCAACAGAGCTCTCACACCATTCTACGATGGACAATGACTCTACACTAATTATATTTTCTACACTCATTAATATTTGGGTTGAAATATTTACCAAGGTGGCGTCCCCATCTAAATTCAATGAACAAATAGTCGATTGATAATGAATACAATTCAATTATCTAAAAAAAAACATAACTTAAGACGTAAAAATATTTATTTTGCAAAGGTTAATTTATGTTATACAGGGTCAATAAGCAACATTGATGACACCGAATACCTCTGTAACAAAACGCAAGTGAGGAAGGTGATCTCTGGAGTAGTTGGAGCAGCTTCCAGTGTCACGTCTATACAGGTGGCAAACCTGCTGAGACTCTTCAAGATACCACAGGTAAGAGAATCAGCTTGCAATGTTACATGTCATTTATAGCCTATTCACTACATTCATTCTTTTAGTTATATAATTCTACTTCTTTTATTGTACCAAAATTTGCCATTTAGCCTATTAAATTAAATTGTCAGAAAATGTATAGCAAATTTAAAATATATTATCCTTTTAATCATCCCTCAGAAAACATTATCACATTTTAAAATATATTATACAGGGTGGCGCAGAGAAACGGGAAATTTTGAAGTCGTTGTTGGTACACCTGTATGTCTTGTAGGAATGAGAAACTGAGGTTATGACGCCAAGTAGTAATGGACATTTGGTTGAGAAGAAACAGTGGAGTGGTGCGGAGCGTGCAGTCGCCGTGAGAGCGTAACTACAAAAATGGTGACAGTGCAACCGCTGCAAATGTTTGGATGTCTGTCACTTTCATTTAAATGGACATGTCAATAAGCAGAACATGCATCACTGGGTTCATCGAAATCCCACTGAACTTCATCAACGTCCGTTTCACAGTCGCAAAGTTACTGTATGGTTTGCAGTGCCTTGTCTTGGTGTGATTGGACCTAACTTTTTTGAGGATGAATATGGTTCCAATGTAAATTCACATCTAAACGTTACATTCATATGCTGGAGACATTTTTTGCTCTATGGCTTCATGCTTTTCCAGATATTAAAATTCAGCAAACCTGGTTTGAACAAGATAGAGCCACCTCACACACTGCCAATCTGTCAATGGCTGCATGGAGACGTTTGTTTGGGGAGCGCATAATTTCAAGTACCGTTAACGCTAACGTCATTTGGTCCCACGGTTTCCAGACCTCTCAGTGCGTGACTTCTTTCTATGGGGGACATCTGTAAAGAGCGTTGTGTACCTGACTAGGCCAAGAAATCTTATTGAGCTCAAGACTCAGATCGAAGAACACGTCCGTTGCCAACTTCCCAGAGGACACATTACGTCACACAATGCTAAGTCTTCAAAATCGATTGAACGAATAGGCCCAAAAGACAGCACTTAACTGATGTGATTTTTATAATGCGATTTTTAACATTATTAATATTTCCAACATTTCTTATGTATTTTCCACACTTGACCAACACATTTTCACCATTAAAGATTTGTTTGTAAAATTTTCTTGGTTTATTATGATTATTTCAAAATTTCCCGTTTCTCTGCGCCACCCTGTATATATTCAACAAATATTATTGTTAATAAAAACCTGTAACCTGTAATGAAGTCCGTAGTTGCAATAACACTTTTATCCAAAATTATTAATATAGTATAAATTATTTCTAAAACCCCAACATTGAATTATTATCCAAAAGCCTGATTTTATTAGTGCATGTGCAAGTGATGAAGACAGAAGACAGCTGGCTTCAACAATAAACTTTGAACATCCTGTATGAAATTTAAAAAATCCTTCTTCTTTATTGGGACATGGCAGCTTCAACACCTTAAATTCAGTGAGGGTATAATCCCTAACATAAAGTCAAAGTGATGAAAATTATTACACTTAACACTTACAACAGAAGAACAGTTTAGCCTTTATATATCTTTTATTTTTCTATTTTAAATTTGTACTGCCACCTCAAGATTTATATTAATTGGACACTGTTACTGAAGAACCAATCTGGTGAGAACTCTCCATTTTGTGACTTTAAGGCTTAGCCTAACTTCAAGAAATTTAACTTAATACAGACCTATTTTATTTACTATCTGATCGAACCTAATTATTTGAATTCAAAAACTACTTTATTTTCATCAAGAATAATTCCAGAAAAACAATTTAAACAAGAGAACTAAATTTAACCTTGATTAATTTTTCACCTATTCTATTCAGTGTTGAACTATTTAAACTACCTATCCAAGCCTAAGGGCAATATCAATTAATTATCCCATTTTTCATAATAATTGACATATTTTATTTCATAAATTAAAATATTTGTAGATCTTTTTAGCCAGCCGAGTTCCCTCCCTGAGAAGATTTATGTAATTAAACTTATATCTTATTGTAAACTCATTGTTCTGTTTTACTGAGCTAGGCTAAACCAAAGATGGCGACCCTGTATTTGTTCATTTAAATATCAAACCCCATTCATTTTATTATCCTATTCTTAGTTAATTAAATTTGTATTGTAAAGAAATCCTTAATCATTTGTCTTTCTATAAGTATATTTAATCTAGGCTTAACTTAGCTAAATAAGTTATTAAGTAAAGGTACAAACCTGAACCAAGTTTTATTAGTCCAAATTATAAGCACTACCAATAACAAATTTTGTAAAACACATTGAACCAATTTGGTAGTGATTAATCATTATACAGTAATCACATAAAACGCATCACTTCTAACTATGATTATTACGCTCATCACGAGTACTTTAGAAAATACCATTACCAGAGGCAATAAGTGCAGTCGTGCTGGTGTATTTTCTGCCTGGGCGAAGGTTAGCAATCCTATTTAACAATCCTTAGAGTGCGGAAACTTTCTAGAAGAATGGCCAAAGCACCCAGAGGGACATGTCACTCGAGATACCATTGCTGGGGTGATGCTTCGCAAAGATGTAGAGTGGATTCAAAAGATTCAAAAGCTTTATTCACCATTCAATACAAAATGTACAATAGGCTTGGTCTCATACATTAAATAACTTAACTGCTAAAATAAATAAATCAAATCATTCCAAATAATTAATTACAAAATGCAAACTCAAACAGCAAACCATGCATAAATTGACATAGTGTGGATTAGCTCCTGTATTTAATAGTGGAGGGTTGTCACGTCCGACGTGTATCTGGTGCTTTGTTCAAAGCTATTTTACCTGAAGTTAGATGTAGGATGCAATAAACACCATTCAATTATAAAGTCATACGATAAGGGTTCAATCTGGTTGACCAATATATGTTAGGACTTAGTTGTGTCAGTCCCACATTGTTTCCATCTAGGTCATTCCATAAAACATGCTTGAAACGTGTCCCATACGTGAAAAAATTGTGCGTGTTTAGCAAGTCCATCATTAAATACACTAACAGAAACTATGTTTTTGAATTATATATTGTAGTTAGTTTTAGAATGGCTAATAATTTAGTTAAATGGAGGCACTATTACATGAACTGCTATATTGCGTGTACTGCTATACTCGTATACTCGATTTCTTTCATAAAGAGCGAATTTATAACTATGCAAAACCAGAAGAGCAACTTATTGTCATCTTTTTTGTATACATGAACATGGTTTATTTGTTCCTATAAAGAATTAATAACTGAGCTAACTAAGTAGAACCTTTGACTATTAATACAGTCCAATAGACTTCAGTATCCAATAGTAAATGGTAGAACCCAGAATGGAGAAATTTGAAACTATTGCAATACATCTAAGAGTTAAGGTAAAATGATTTACACCTGCTTTGCACGTTACGGTAAATTGTAAATTTTAACGTTTTAAATGCAGCCTTCAGCTACATTTGGCTTAGTCTTTTAATAAAAAGTTCTTAAAAGATATATACTGATACAAAGAATTTACTTATTGTTCAACTAAGTAACATTACAATAAGTAATTGAACTACTTTTAAAAATGTGTATGTATGGATTCAGCAGAGTTTATATGGTTTATTGTATTTTGAATGTACATTATAAAGTTTAAGGTTAGGAACTATGTGATCTTTTTCGTTCGGCAAAAGCATAAAATATTTAACATATTGCTATTAGTAGTGTGGTCTAGATCACCATAAATTTACAGTAGGCTACTTATGATGCAATAAACAAGCTAACTAATCTTGAACAATGTACTTCAACTTTGAGTAAGGTTGCTGGTTGACAACCAATTAAACTCAGTTTCGAGTATTTTGGTTCTTCAAAATGGTGTATTAGCTGCATTCACTGAGGTATCGCACAAAAAGTTACCTGGGTTAACTATGTTAGAAACATAAAGCGTAATGGAGAACATCTCAAACTTTTGTAAAAGCCAAAGAGAACAAAGTACTTCACTTTATAAGTCTCTTATCTGTAATTAAATTGTTAACGAGGTTTACCCGAGAGTTTTGCAAGCAATCGTTTTTAATTTGTAATTATTTTTTAAATTATCGTGTTTTAATCGTTATTTAAAGATTAATTAATATTTTGGTTACTTTAATAAGATAAAAAGTAGTTAATTAAACTACGTTATCATTACAATGATGAATGTCTTGGTTTTTGCTTTTTTTATTTGAATGAGTAAAAAGTTATTTCTAATAAAAGTAGGCCTAAGTGATTAGGTTAATTAATGAGCAATTTTATTTTGATTCAAAAGAATAATTCTCTTATAGTACATTTCTTTCTCAGAGTCCTTGGAGGCTAGCGGTCATGTTTGATAATTTAAAACAGCTGCTAAAAGGTTATTTATCACCAAAAATACTTGTAAAAGACCAAAGTGATTATAATTTAAATATCTAGGGCACTGTGAGACTAGAAATGCTCTTTGTAGTTTTGAATCCTTTTCCAAAGGAGTCAATGGAACTTAGCAATCATCTTGGATTTGTCCGCCATAAGAACAATTAATAATTCTGTTAATTTCAAACAGCCGCTAAAGAGCTATTTACCACCTTAAAATATTTTGTTAAATACCAAAGTATTTGTAATTTTATTACCTAGGGCACTGTGGGATTATAAATTTGCTTTGTAGTTTTTTAATTGTCTTATGAGTTAGAATGTATAGGCTCCAAAGACTCTAAAGGAACTGAAGATGACCTATATCATTTCAGTATAGATGTCATCGCAAACTTATCTTGTTTTGAAGGTGTCTGATGAAGAGGGAATCAAAAATCGATTAGCCCAATCTACATGTTTACCATCTTACATATGAGTAAGTTTAGGTATGAATTCTTCTTGCGTTATGAAACGATATCTGAATACAATAACTATATGATCATAAAATATAAAATTTTAAGTAACATTCAACTCACGGTTCTGGAAGTAGTTTTATTTTATACTTCATGTTAATCATTAGAGTTCTTTTTTGTAGTTCAATAGTTAATTGGAGTATTGGCTGGCAATGTGAGACAAAATAAAATTGTTAATCAATTTATTATTTATTTGATTCAATAGGAAATTAACAAAACCTTACAGTTGAAAATCCATTCCCATTACTAACCATATAATAAATCTTTATTTTAAGCAAATTGTAATTGAATTAAAATAAAACAGTTTAATTTTCAAAAAGTTAATACTATTTGTTTAAATGCTTTACGTAGATTTAGAGGATTAAAAGTAAATAAAAAGCGGATGAATCGTGTACAAACATTTAAGCTGTTATGGTTGATTGATTAAAACAGTTTTAAATTCGTATAAAGATAACAGAAAAGTTAAAATTTAATTCGATAGGAAACTAAAGTGTTGTTGGTATAAAAAGAAATAAACACATTTCAATGTCCAAATGTTTCGTACAATTTATTTAAGTAAGTTGTGTACTGATATTCAACTAGTCGTATAGTATATTCTTCTTATAGTATATAGCATATTCTTCAACTGGTTTCTCTAGGTGTCCTTCTGGTCCACCTCCCCGGAGCTGAGCAACAAACAGAGGTTCGAGTATTTCACCAGGACCATCCCCTCGGACCATCATCAGGCCAAGGCTATGGTGGAGATTGTCAAGAGGATGGACTGGAACTATGTGTCCATCATCTATGAGGAGTCCAACTACGGCATCAAGGTAAATTGTTAGAGGGTTCTAACAATAACAGACTGTCCGCGTTTGCATTTGTTATGCCAGTAGGCCTACATTATATTGCAGAACCTGTGAAAACACCTTATAAAGATTTAGAGGGAATGACATTGTTATAATAAAAAATAACCAAATTTGTACATCAACAATCTCCCATATTGCTTCTTAATTTTTCCTTTACTAAATAGTAGAAACTGCATTAATTGGAGCTTAGTAGTACATTTCACAGTTTATACTTTTAACTGAATTAGGCAAGGCTTGTTAATATAAAAAATGTTGCATGTGTTACAAGTAAAAATACAGAGGGCTAATAAATGCTCAATTATTTTACACAACCTTAAAACTTCATAACGTTAAACTGAAGTAGGCCTATTAAAAGTTAAAGGATTATTCCAAGTTTCACCCACCATCACAGTTTTTAAAGTCTTGAGAGAAAATACATTATTGAAACTATTATTTGCACACTGGTTCTCATCGAATCAACATTATTTGCAATAGCTGAACCCAATAGGTAAGGTGTATAATTTAGCATCCAAACCCAACAAACAGTATTACTGGTACTTATTACCTGGTATATATACCTGGTGATTATTACTGGTGGTTATTATGGTTATTATGATTGTTATGGCGATTATTACCTGGTAACTTCCTTCAGAATAAAACATTTCCTACCAGCAATACTTTGTTTAACATCCAACTAAATTGTCTTTGTAAATTGTATCATCTGATAGCTTTCGTATCAACATGAGCGAATTCCAATGTGAATCCGAGACACACTAACTGCGCTTTACAATTATTTTACGGAACAACAAATAAGACGTGTTCAACTGGTACAACTGATGTGTTTTATTGTAATACTAGCTTAAACCGTAGTGGCTTTGCTCACGACATTTTAAGTTAAACATGTGAATACTTAAGTTAGTTAAACTAAGGGAGAACTTCTTCATTTAAAAAGGCATAAACTTCCACCAGGAGCTTCATTCCGAAACCACTGACATATTTGGCCATAAAAATATCCCCACTGTATATCCACAACTGAATATTCAGCCTGGATATATACACAACTGGAGTCAGCCTTAACCAGTCATATTAAGAAAATATATGATAAAACAGCGCCGATAGTATGTAAAAGGGTAACAAAGAAAATGGCCCCTTGGAGAAATTATGAAATAAAGAAACTGACGAAGGAAAAAAATCAACTTAGAAACAGATATTGGAAATCGAGAAATGAATCTGATTGGAGTGATTACAAAGAGCTGAGAAACAGATTAAACTTAATGGTCTGGCGAGCAAAACAAGAATTCTTTACAAATAAGCTTTCAACAACAAACAACAGTAAGAACAGTGTGATATACATGGAAACAATAGGGTAGATGTCACTGATGGTTTTAATGTTAACTAAGTAAATAAATATTTTGTAGATATGGGTTCTGGGACTCAGGTGGATGAGGAGACAAAGAGATTCTTTACGCTTAATAGGCAAGATGACACAATACAAGAATTCAGATTTAGTGCTGTCACTGAAGAAACTGTCAAAGCAGTAATGAATAATATTAAGTCTAAAGCAGTAGGCTGTGATGAAATCTCTATTGATATGGTTAGAGCTGTGAGTCCGTTTGCCATTGAAGCAATAACATATCTAGTGAATGAGTCATTAATTAATGGAGTATTCCCTCAAGCGTTGAAAAAAGCATCGTCAGACCAGTTCCTAAAACGGTGTCTATAGCTAGAATGGAAGACCTGAGGCCAATATCTCTAGTCCCGGCAATATCAAAAATCTTGGAGAAGATAGTTACTAATCAGCTAACGGATTTTATTAATGAGAATCATATATTACCTAAATTGCAGTCAGGGTTCAGAAAGAACCATATCACTTGTACTGCGTTGACAAATCTCTTTAGTGATATGATTGATGCTAAAGATAAAGGTAGATACAGTTCAAGATGCGTGGAGTAAAACTTTTACTCCACGCATCTTGGATACAGTTCACTGGTTATGCTTGACTACTCTAAAGCATTCGACTCAATGGATCATGACATGCTGATTGCTAAAATGCACTATTTTGGATTTAGCTATGAAATCACTACCTGGATTCGAACTTATCTCATCGACCGACTGCAGGTTACTAGATTCGGAAATGAGACATCAGAACCCCTCGTCAAACAACGGGGTGTTCCTCAAGGCAGCTGCTTGGGCCCTGTTCTCTACACACTTTACACAGCTAGGGAAGTCAGCTGTGTAAAGTGTGTAGAGAACAGGGCCCATTTGTAAAAACTCTACGGCACATTTGTATGCAGACGATTCTCAGTTGCACTTGTCTTTTGAGCCTGTTTTCATGAAAGAAGCAATTGTCAAACTCATGCTCTCACTGAAGAGCATCTCCAAGTGGTCATTTGTCAATGGGCTCAAACTGAACCCCGATAAGTGCACTGTCTTACATACAGCGCCTCTGGACCAAGTGCAGACCTTGAGAGATGATGGAGTTTCTGTCTGTCTCGACGGCCGGAGTCTGGTAGTGTGTGAGAAGGCAAAGACTCTTGGCGTCGTGATTGACAGATGCCTGAATTTCTCAGATCATGTCACCTTTGTTTCCCAGCGAGCCTTAGGGAGACTAAGAGGTTTGTATAGGTTCAGAGGCTTGTTGCCTGAGGCTGCAAAACTTCAGCTCTTGCAGTCAATAATACTGTCAGTATTTTACTACTGCTTCCCTGCATATGGCGATAGCATTTCTCGGGAAGACATGTATCGGTTGCAATTTCTGCAAAACTCCACAATCCGGTTCATTTTCTGTTTGAACAAATTTGATCATGTCTCTCCCTTTCGAGAAGTAGCTAGTCTGCTTCCCGTTGAAGCCATGTGCAGGTTGTTGACGTGCTGCATGACCCACCGAGTGTTGTCACTTTGTGAGCCCGACTATTTACGCGAGAGGCTTTCTCTTCGCGATGAGGTTTCCCAGCGAAGGACACGTCATGGTGGGAGGCTTCACCTCCCAAGAGTTTCTCTAGAGCTTGGGAGGAAGAGCTTCTCATATTTTGGTCCCTCGTTGTACAATGTTCTACCCGACGGCCTGAAGGTTGTTACATCTAGCAAAACATTTAAAGAAAAACTTAAAGATATCTTTTTTAAAAAATTGTAATTATTGTCTAAGTGTATAACGACCACATTGATATGTTGAATTGTTTTGTAAAAAAATTTCAAATTGTTATGTATAATTGGTTGTTGAATAAGATGTTTAGCATAGTGACGAAAGTTGTTCTGAAAAGCTGGTGTACCAGAGAAACGCTGAATAAAGACATTTTTATTTATTTATTTATTTATCCATTCACTTAGGTTGATACACGCTTAAACCTAAGTTTTCAAATAGTTCAGTTAGTTCTCCCATAACTTTATTGAAAAGTATTATTCATCTTAAAATAACACAAAGTAACATAAACACCTTGCACAATGTTTAATTGTGGTTCTTATAACCCTCGAGCTCTAAACAGGTTCAGGTCTACAGTGTCTACGATGTTTTCAACAAATATGTACACACATAAAATGTACTTTTCTAAAATCTCCAGTTGGAATTATTAAAACTCGATATTATACGTACATTTCACTAAGAAAAAAACATAAAGAGCATTAACTCACTTCTATCACAATTACCAGCCAAAAACAAAAAACAACATACTCATCTGCAATTGCATGTGACATTGTAAGCCTGTATGGATGGACGTGATTAAACGTATCAAGAACTTCGGATCTTCTATCTTGAGCATCTATTATAAATAATCATAAAGTTACTGACAATCATAAGTGAAGAAGGTAGGTGCCATCCGTTGAATTATTATCAGATGAAACTCTATTACAAATAACCATTCCTTTGACATTGATACTATTGACACATTAGATAATATTTAGTTGTAGAGAAAAACTGATCTTAAAAACCACAACAAAATTAGTGTAAATATCATGATTTTTTAATTCATTAGGCGATTACAAAAAGTGTTATGTAGTAAAACACAAATTTCTAAGCCATACTAATACAACTATTTTCATTCCAACCAAATAAATATCCATCCTTTTAAATGCAATCAAATCTTTTCTCCATAAGAATAACATGGGATCTTTAAAGGCCAGTGGGGCATAACCCTGAGGAGTCCAAAATTTGATTCCACACAAACCCTCTCGGGGGTGCATAGAACAAGTTCTTAAAGTTTCGTTACGATCGGTTGGCCGGTTTGGTATCGTATAAAAGACAAACAAACGACAAACAACAAACGACAAACAACAAATGACAAACATACATTGGATTATATATACAGTATATAATAGACTAATAAGAAAGATAACCTGAAATTATTTTTTAAGACGCGAACTAGTACTCGTTGGTTTTAAGCCTTTTACGTATAAAGTAGACAAACCACATTTCAGATAAACAGTCGAAATAATTTTTAGCAGAGATTAACAATGATCTTTAATTTGAGACACCGCAACATGATTTTTAAAAATACAAGAAACCAGCAATAAACATCTTGTGTTATGAAAACTTCTCTGAGTCGTTTGAATTCATCATGAGATTACATTCATAGTGCTTAATTGCACCAAAAATACCATTCTTCAAAGTCTTCTACTGATTTCTGTGTTGAAATTACATCACGTTAGAATAATTGATTGAATTTGACATGAGAATTCTTCATTGCCTAAACTGGTGTAACCTATATAATTTAAAATTACTTACTATAAGAGTAGGTGCATTTTAATTTATCTAAAAAAAATAGACAACCCATCTATTATTTTAGTTTGTGTTTTTGTTAATACTTTTGCAATTATTAATTAATTAATTAAGGTTCATCAATATACTGCACCAAAAGTTTGTGTTTTTTTATCATTTTGTCAGTGAGAAACATACAAAATGTATGTTTTTTATTCGTAATGTATGGACTTTTAGCAACAAAACTAGGGCAAACATATTAGGTTTTCAGTTCAAAGTTCCAGTCTAGATTACACAATAACTTTAAAAAGAACATTTTGCCATTGCAGAGAGTCCCTTTTCATTTAACCAGTCCTATAGTAATACCAGAAACAAAAGAACCCTGGGCCGTTTCGAGCCGCGCAGGTTTGAATGGTACGCCACACCTACCGGCGCGAGCCACGTGATCTTTTCGTTTCTGCGCAGGTTGTTTTGTGAGTGGTATGTCTATAGTTCAAATAAGTAGAGTTTTCTTTATACAATTCAATTGCAAAATGTACATCTTTCAATCTACCAGACTGATCACAGAAACTGTATTAAATAATTACCATCTACTAAACTTAAAATAAAATTTATCTTTGTTTGAAATTCATTGTTGGTGATGGTGAGTTAATGTTGTTCAAAGGTTTATTGCGGACATTTTCCACCTTGATGGTAAAAAACAATCCACAACGTTTCGGGATCTGGAATCTGATCCCGTCCTCAGGTGAAAAAACTTGACTGGCACATTACAACTAACAATACACAAACGCCCAACCTAAGTTGGAATACAAGTATGGAAAGTTTGGAAGTTGGAAGAGGGTAGCAGTAAAAAAATATACACTGTATAGCAGTTAAGTTATGATACAACATGCAAATAACAACCAATCACAAAACACTATAGTCTATAAAAGGTGTAGTGTGAACCTGTTTTTTTCACCTGAGGACGGGATCAGATTCCAGATCCCGAAATGTTGTGTATTGTTTTTTACCATCGTGATGGAAAATGTCCGCAATAGACCTTTGAACAAGATCTATCTATATTATGAATTCTGTAAGCGGTTTTTAATTAACATTGTAAGAGCGTAACAACTCGCAGGATGATGGAAGGGGGCTCGAATTAAAGGTGATCTGAGGGGGTCGGTAAAAATAGATTATGTCAAAATCTATCAGAAAATGAGAAATAACGAAAATATCTTTCATATAAAATGCATTGGAATTGAAAACGTTGCTTTGTTTACTTTAAAAACGTGATCACAAATAATCCTTTTTATTCTACTTTTACATTCTGTTGATAGAGTGCGTTATAAGGCTCTTACCTTAAAAACTTCTACTCTCGTCGTTAACACTATCTACGCTAGTTGCGTACACTTCTTTGAATACGACAGTGTTTTAATGACTAAAAATCATTTCTCATAACTTCAAAAAGCGGGTTTTTTTTTCATTGCCACTGACAGTGATGCAACGAAACATTGTACCAAACACTTATTGCACCACTCAACAATTAAATTGGACTGAACAGCTGATTAGTTGAAGTTCGAATCACTACAATTGTAGTTCTTTTATCTAAATCCTCATTGGTCCGTTACCTGTGTTGTTATGAGTCAAACTATGCTGTTATGGAAGTAAACAATGCTGTCATGTGAAACTTTTAAATTCTAAGAACTGAACTGAAACGGCTACTTTAAAAACGGTCGTAAGTTAAAGTTTGTTTACTAATCCAAAAATAATTTAGAAAAATTCTACTTTCACCAAAGTGATCTAAAAATGATTTAACTTACAATTTTCAGAGCTCCTGCATTAAGAATCTTTTGATTCTTAATTTGTTTAAATATAACAATAATTTGTTTTACATTTGAGCTTTTTAGAGACTTGTGTCCCTACATGTATTTAATTTGAACATCAATAACTATTTTTTGTATAGGCATTTGAAGAGTTAGAACAACTGCTGGCCAAGTCCAATATCTGCATCGCCGTCAAGGAAAAGCTCGCCAAAGACTCTGGAGTGGCCGAAGACATCGCCTATGACAACGTTGTGTTGAGGCTGCAGACAAAGCCTAGAGCAAGAGGTGAGTATCGTCAAAGCTGAACAATGACAAGGTCAATTGGTGTTTTGGAGACAGAGCTATAACTAAAACTCAGATTTTAATTCATTTAAGATACTTAGACACCTACTGAAAGATACTTTTCAAAACAAGCCTAAATAGTTGCAACTGAGTGTTTTGAAAATAGTTTTTTATCCCTAGATACATATGAAAGTATTGGCTACAACATGTAATGTTTTAACATTGAAATCCTGTTTTGTAAAATTTAAGGTGAACATGATGTTCTTTGACATCGAGATATTCTTTTAAGTGAATCATCTTTTCTAATGATAGCCTATCCCATCTATTATTCATGTTAAGCTATGGGTCAATCAAATTAGCTTATTTGTCTAGTTTGAAAAGACCTGTATACTATTTTATTATACTTGAGGCATAAAATTTGTGTGTCTCCTTTTGCCTACAGGAGTCATAGTATTCGCCTCGGACCAGGAGGTGGCTGGTCTCATGAGAGCGGTTCGTCGCTGTAACGCCACGGGAGACTTCACCTGGATTGGCAGCGACGGATGGTCAGCGAGGTCCTTGGTCTCCGAGGGGAGTGAGGCTGAGGTTGAGGGAACTCTCAGTGTACAACCTCAGGCCAACCCTGTCCTAGGGTTTGACACATACTTCCTCAACCTGACGGTGGAGAACAACAAGAGGAACCCTTGGTTTGTAGGTTGGTACTTGTTTAACCACCAACTCGGTAACTTTCAGACAAGAGTTTAGAATGACACGTTTCGTTGGAGGTTGGCTTATGCACACTTATATTTAGAAAGTTCATGCAACATGTTGGATTGTAATTAAAAGATTCTTTTTCAACAGTCTACTAGTTTCAGCTACCCTTGATCGTTTATTAACCCTGTCAAAGTTCAACCTATGTTAGATCGCGATACCACGTTGTGAGGTAGGGATGTTACCTGCTATTAAAACTATTTCTAGACAAAAAATATTGCTTTGTTCGAGATGGTCTTTGTGGATAGTTCATACCAAACTACTGCTAGATATTATGGATTACTAACAGAAAACACATTTCTCAGAATTGAACTGAGCTACTTATAATGGTAACAAAACTATACGGTGCAGCTATCATCCCATGGACATCTTCCATTCATCCTTGTTTTAACATATTCTTATTGTGACGACAAACATTCTAATGGAAAGAGAGCTATGGTTATATTGCATATCCATGATACCCCGGTCATCAGGCAATTTTTCAAAGTCCATTCTAATCATTACCGATTCTCCATACCTCAAAGAATAATTTTAACTTTAATAGATTTATGTGTGTAAATGTCCCAGAGTTCTGGGAGGACCACTTCCAGTGCCGCTACCCCGGGAGTCCCACTACCCCGTACAACCTTCGCTACTCCAGACTGTGCTCTGCTGACGACAGACTCACTCTACAGAACACCGCGTTTGAGAACCAGCTGCAGTTTGTCAGTGACGCCGTCATGTCGCTGGCTGTCGCACTGGGCGACATGCACGCTGATCTGTGTCGCAGTCCGGGTCTGTGTGGCGACATGTCACCAACCAAAGGACCGGAGCTGCTGAAGTACCTCAGGACTGTCAACTTTGTAGGTATGTTCTACATGAATTGGAATCGTAGTTTTTTGTTAACCGTGGTGAGGTGATGAAGTTTTGGATATTATTTGTTACTTGGGTTCGAACTCAACTTGGAAACGTTTATCTTACGCCTATGAACTATCGCGAAATCCTTCATTAATACAAAAACTTTAAAACACTCTTGCATAAAAGGCGAATAGAGCACAGTCTAACGAGCAAACTGGCTTTTCGTATAAGTTTTTTCTTCAACGTAGTGTTGGCTATTGCGATCAATAAGTACATTCTACCGAATAGTCGTTCACAGTTTTCTTGTATTCCATTATTTGCGTATACTGAGATTTACTACATGAAGAGTAAACTGTAATGAGTTCCCCAGGTCTGTCAGGAGACAAGTTCCACTTTGACGTCAACGGTGATGGTCCAGCGAGGTACAACATCATCCACTTCAAGCAGACACAACCCGGAGTCTACCGCTGGGTGTTGGTGGGAGAATATGTGGAGGGAGAACTGACTCTCAACATGACAGGTAAAACATCTCTCGTTGTGTTCTGACAGACGTGGAACGGGTTAAAATAAAAAGAGGAAAATTGAACAGAAGATCGGTATAATGACGGAACCATAAGAGTTGTTAAAATACAGTTCAACGTAGACGTAGCGATCACTTGTATTTTATAGAAATCTCTAACACAGGACAGTGCTTGTTATGTCAAAGATATTATTAAAAGCAACTTCTTTAAATTTCGCACAGAGTAGAATAATTCAAAGGCTACATAACTAAATTGAAAACTGTTTACAAACTGAAGTTATTGGTGTGCAGCTATAGTTGATGGTTCTTTAACCTTAGAAATGTAAAATTTGTAAGTTAAATAAATCTTATTGCAAAATAAAATGAAACTATATGATAAATATTTTAAAAGAAACAATGTTGATAAGGGTACTTCAAATAATGTTGGCCACGTACAGACAATTTACCTTAGTTTAATATTTGTTTATGAAATGAATTGAATTCGTGCATTTAAATCAATCCTAGACTCGTATATGAGCGATGTTTGCTTTTATGTATGCACAAAGATCTTAGATCCTATTTATTGTATGTTTTTTTTATATTTGGCCTAAAAAACGTGTTTACTGCAGTTAAAACTGCCAACAAAAATCTAATTATGCAAAAAAATGAAATTGAAAGTCAAAATCTTTTAACGTTGGCTTTATGGGTTGCTAAGTAACCATTCTCATTGAACAAAATAACAAGCTAAAAGTAAACAAAAGAATTGTAACATGTGTTTATAACTAGCCACCCACAGTATACTAGCAAATTACAAAATACAGTACAACGGGGAAAACATCAGTTGTTACTATTGAGCAAATATTACAGTGAAGATTATTCGATATAGTGGTACAATGGAATTAAACTACCAATCTATGGGTCAGACCCAAGGTACTATTTCGTAATATGAGTTTGAAATAAATAATAAATCAACTGATACACCATACATCATACTGAGTAAATCATATTACAAGTATGATGTGTAAAAAACAAGTATGATTCAAGTAAAAGTTAAAGAGGTAGGATGTAAATTACTACATTATCAACTTAAATTACCATAAATATTACCATTTTTGTGGAACTGACTACATTTATCGTACATTGGATTATATTTTATGAAAACTATTTAAGCTTACTCTTGAATATTGCTATTTGGATATTTAAATAACGTAGGAAATACTCCACCAACGTTTATGCAATATTTAGAAATCACCAGCTATTAGTCTAGAAACTATTCAGTATTTACTTAACAATAACTTTAGGGGTTGTGATTTATCTATATATCTAATTTCGTAAGCCCAAAATTTTACAATGAAATTGTGAGCGAACGGGAGGCCGTAGAAAGCTGGAAGGGTCATTTTAAAGGTCTGGGCATGAAATTTTGAGGAAAATTATCCATTTTTTCTTAATTATACACCAAAAGGTTGTTACGTAATAAAATAATTTACATTTAAATAACATGGGAATCCAGGTCATGTCTGCTTTGTTTACTTTATTTAAAACATATGGTAATATGTACAATATGTATCTATTCTCTATATAATTCAGTTTTAAAAATCTTTGTACAACTAAATCTAGAGTTCTATTGGACAGATTTTATTAATTAATGGGTCGTTGGAAAGCTTAATTGTAGATTTGCAAAAATTATGAAAGTTTGTTTTTTTATGATTTATGGTGAAAAATAAAAAAACAGGGTTTCCATAAGAAATACATTGAAAAATGATTTTTTCACACTTTTTATTTGGGTGCAACTTTTGGCTGCCTTTTTTGAGTATTTCCAAGGAGTATCAATTTGTAGGAAATTGTATTCTCTTTCAAAATATCACCTTCCACTTTGGTCGATTTCCTTACCATTTAAAAGTTATTTGCAAAAAAGCAACCTCAAAGCAACCTAAGCAACCTCCGAATTTATAGTAATAAGAAAATATTTTGTTAGGGATATTTTTGTTAAACTTTGTACAACTAAATATAGACTTCTACTGGACCGATTTTGTTAATGAATGGGTCATTGGAAAGCCTAACTCATGTAGATTTGGAAATAATTATAAAATTTTGATTTTATTAAATAAGTTTTGTCAAACATGTTAAACGATAATTCAAGGTAGGGTAACCCATGAGACTAATAATTTTTAGGCCTACAAAATAATTACTAGAATATATATATATATATATATATATATAGGGGCTATTGCCCCTACAAGCCACTAGTCTGTAGTGTATTAGTACAATTCGAGATTCAATGAAACTTCAAATGGCACTCTTGACAGTTGTACAGTTGCAGCACATAAATGCAACAGTTTCTCCACATCAGTAACCGTTACCGTTAAGAGGATTCGTAGTGTTCAAGTAGTCTCAATGCATTTGTACTCTCAAAGCTCCAAACAAGATCTGTAGCAATAGCTTACAGTTGTGTCCTTTAATTTGATAGTGTTATATCAAAGGCTTGACCATATGTGGACTCAATTTTAGAAAACCTATCTAATCTTTGGTTACAGAATGATCGCAATTTTATGTAGGTCTAGACGCAACTTCCGCATTCTCAACACGGGTCCGCTTGTCGAGTTCAATGTTTTTATCGGCCGTATATGTGTGCGCACTATGTGTTTTTTCGTCGTGTGTTTGTGTGAATGTGAAAAAACTGTTACTGACGACCTTCATATGAAGTAATATCATCCTTGTACTCACCTGATGATGACCTCCTAGCAGGTTGAAACTAGTTGTGAAGACAACAATTGGATTGCAAGAATAAGGTATTTAAACCACTATCATAGTTATTACTGTATGTTTACAATCCGTACCCTTATTTTCCTGCTCTCACAGAAGTGCAGCCCTCACTCCCTGAGAGTGTGTGTAGCCTCCCGTGTGAGGTTGGCCAGGCCAAGACATACGTAGAGGGAGAAAGCTGTTGCTGGCACTGCTTCAACTGTTCCACCTACCAGGTAAAATCTATTAGTCAAATGGATTTAACTAATAGTGTTTGGTTATATTTCAAATCAGTTGGCAGTATCAGTTTTTCCAAGTTTTACAATAACAGGTTAGAAGTAGGATTTCTTTATGGAAAACTATTGAACAATTAATGCAATGTAAGAGTTTTCACTGGGATGTAATCAACTTATCTTCCTCATAATATCAGACAAAGATAAAATTAGAGGATATATTCTAATGGTAAGACTATTTAAGTTAATAATGTTTAGCTTTAGTTATTTTACCAGACAAAAAAAACTAAGCTTAACTTATGTGATGTTCTTCACAAAATCAACAGATAGTAACAAATGTGGACCTATAGTGCAGGGCTTTTTGTGGCAAAATTTTAAAATGTAATTAAAGGATGAAAATAAGTATTTTTACCATGCCAATACATTTAAGTATACAAAAGTGTTACACCATTTGTGTTAAAACATAGCTTCGGACGAAGGGACATAGGACACCCTGTGCTCGTAGGTAGGAGGTGAAGTATGGCAGTGAAATTTTCAAACACACTCTTCCGGAGTTGGATAGCACCTTTTAATTCACCAAAAACCTTGACCTTTGACGTCAACTAACCACATCATCACCCAAACCGATAAAAGATGCCATTCAGCCCCTCCCAGCTCATCAACGTCACCGATCCAATCGTTTAGTCACTTCCCCCTCCCCCTCACTTTCACCCATCATCCCTCCTCCTGATGATGCCACTTCTGGTCTCGTAGCCCCATTCCCATGCTTCTAATTGAAATGCCTTTAATCACAGTGGTACGTTAAGTTTTAGCAATATGTTTATCTCCAGATCCGCCACCCGACTGACGAGACGCAGTGTCTCCTTTGTCCTGAAGGTACCAAGCCCGACATGTACCATCAGGTCTGCCTGGACATACCCGAGGACTACCTGCGAGCTGGCAGTGCTTGGGCCATCGGAGCGATGACCTTCTCGTTGGTAAGTCACACTTATAGTAGTGTTCCATAGTTAAATGTGATACTCGTATTACACATGGAGACGCAGGATTACCACTTTATTGCGATATTTAGAATTTAATTTATTCCAACAGTTTTATCCAGCTCCACGGTAAATCATAATTTTTTAATTTAAAAATCCTAATTTTATAATTTAAAAGGATCCTAAAAATGCACTCTTTTGGCGATCCAGAGTCCGTCAACTGTGGATGTGAACTCATTGAAAAGGTTCTAACTTATAAATATCTAGGTGTAGTAATAGATCAAAAATTATCATGGGTACCACACATACAGTACTTAAAACAAAAATTAAGAAAAATGATATATGCTTTTGGGCAGTTGAGCCATGTGCTCACTCCGGATCACTGCAGGAGTGTGTACCTCGCCTATGTGCAATCCATAATGCAATACGGGGTTCTGGCGTGGGGTGGTGCCTCCTCCGCCGTGCTGGAGCCACTGGGGGTGACACAGCGCTCTATAATAAAAACCATTCTAAAAAAAGGACAAAGATATTCTACTGATCTGCTATTCCACGATTTTCCTGTGCTCAATATTAGACAATTATTTATTAAAACCCTTCTAATCTACATTAAAAACAACAAACACAAAATTTTCACACAGCCAACTCACACATATATAACAAGAAACCGATTAAACTTTGGATACACAATACCCAGATTAGGTTACAGAATAGAGCTTTCTAATCCATTTTATATTGCACATCAATTATACCGAAATCTTCCAAATAATATCATTCAGGCAGAGAGTAGCAGTGCAGCCGTTTTCGGGAGAATAGTTGGAGAGTGGCTGTTACACGTCGGCCCCACGGCTGCTGAAAATTTAATTCATTCACCATACGTTTGAATTAAAAATAACTAGTGTACCTGTTGCTCGAATTCTAGCAATTGCGAAGCATTACAGGCGACTCAAAGATTATGGAAATCCTCACGATCTACACAACAGTTAGATATAATCAAAATCCTTTCTAAATATCTTATCTTTTTTTCAAAAAGCTGATCTTGTTTTTTTAGTGTTATTAGTGTAAAAAAAAACTTTCTTCTACTTGGTTGTGTTCTATGACTTTTTCTGTGTTTCCATTGTTTGCAAATCGGTTATTTCAATGATTGCTCAAGAAATGTAGCACAGTGTTAATTCAGTTTTATTTTTAGCCTATATCAAATTCTCCAGGATTTCCCGCTCTTTTCCATTGTAATAATCACACCAACCCAAGTTTCGTCTACAGATACAATAAGCCAGAGAATATCAACTATTGGATACAGAAATTAATCTCCAAGAAGTGGTAATAAAGGCAGAAACCAATACATACAATGGATATAAGTTACCTCCATAAGAAATAATTTCAAGAGTTACTTTTATATTAGGATTTTCCACTGATTTGGTAATAGAACATTATATTTCAAAACATGACACGATGCAGAAGAAAATCAATTTTAAAATCGGAAAAACCCATTGCAAATACTGTACTTAATTTTGACAAATTCAATAAATCACAATTTAAATATAACAGCTGTTTCATTAAAAAGTAGTGTAGAACTATGCATATGGTCGTAATGTAAACACATCTGAAGAGGCAACTTTAAAGGCTTCTGGGGCAGAACCCCAAGGCAATTTACCTCGTTCCTCTTTTGATGGCTCATCTCAGTCGTTCTCTCCAATTAGTTGTGACAAAACCCCCGTTTTCCTCCATAAGAATAACATGGGTCGGGAATTTAAAGGCCACTGGGGCAGAGCCCCAAGGGAATTCACCATGTTTCTCTTTTGATGGCTCATCTACAGACCAAGACCTTTCTTTAGACACCTCTACCGAGTGTCTACGCCCAGCCGTTCTCTCAAATTAGCTGTGACAAAGAAAAACAGTTTCAAATTAATATATAGATAATAAAAAATCTATTAAATCTCCAACTTATCAGTCAACCCATGCCTATGTCAAAATTTTTATACCGGATTGATTTTTGTTTTTAAATTGTAAGAATTATTTTATTTTATTTTGAGGGGTATTTTTAATTTTTAATTTTTAATTTGCTTTAACTTAACAAGTGTTTAGAACTTATATTCTGATGGTTCTATGTTGTCCAGGACTAAGATATTTTATTTTATTTTTAATTTTAATGAATAAGTTACATTATTATTAACTAGAAAAGTTGTTTTATGTAAGTGTATATATTTTTTAAGAGTGACCAGCGAGTGCCATGGACTCTTCCTCACACACAGACGTGTAGTCTTGTGAGGAATATTTTTTCCGTTTATAAACTATGTCACTTTTGATTTATTGTACATTATTGGAAAATAAACAATCTTGAATCTTGAATAATTTGAAATTAAACTGTAAAGCCATTCAAACAAACCACCTCCTAAATTGTTTATCCCCTCTTCATCTCACAGTTTGGACTTTTGAATTTAATTTCAACACACATTTAATTCTTGAACATCCAACTGATTACAATCCAGCTTACAATTTGGAATTTTATTTTTTCGTAGGATAAACGGAAGGAGATCATAAACGTATGCCAACGCTAGGTTCTCAATGAAACCTAGATCGTGGAAACATCATTATCGTCTCCCGCAGTAACTGCGAAATAGATATCACCCTCCATGATTGCGGCGAATTCGCGAACACCTTCCTTGATCGCGGAGATAGCATCATTATCTTTCACGGTAGCTATGGAATCTTGATTATCACACACGATTGCGGTGAATCCAGCAGCTGTTGCTGCATCAGTTTAACATAAGTTTTTAATATCTTCCACGATCGCGAACACATATGATCATCGTTTCCAGTGATTGCGACAAATAAATCTTGAACATGCCTCAATATGGCGACACGACAATCCCGTGGTGAAAGCTGCTGGTAGAGAACTAACATACGTGCTACTGACTCTCTCTTATATGTTGTATAATATTTACGTTCACCACAGGTAGGTGTGTTGGCCTCGTCGTGGGTGGCTGGAGTGTTTGTCTCTCACAATGACACTCCCGTGGTGAAGGCTGCTGGTAGAGAACTGACATACGTGCTACTGACTCTCTCTTATATGTGGTATAATATTTACGTTCACCACAGGTAGGTGTGTTGGCCTCGTCGTTGGTGGCTGGAGTGTTTGTCTCTCACAACGACACTCCCGTGGTGAAGGCTGCTGGTAGAGAACTGACATACGTGCTACTGACTCTCTCTTATATGTGGTATAATATTTACGTTCACCACAGGTAGGTGTGTTGGCCTCGTCGTTGGTGGCTGGAGTGTTTGTCTCTCACTACGACACTCCCGTGGTGAAGGCTGCTGGTAGAGAACTGACATACGTGCTACTGACTCTCCTAATATGTTGTATAATATTTACGTTCACCACAGGTAGGTGTGTTGGCCTCGTCGTGGGTGGCTGGAGTGTTTGTCTCTCACAACGACACTCCCGTGGTGAAGGCTGCTGGTAGAGAACTAACATACGTGCTACTGACTCTCCTAATATGTGGTACAATATTTACGTTCACCACAGGTAGGTGTGTTGGCCACGTCGCTGGTGGCTGTAGTGTTTGTCTCTCACAATGACACTCCCGTGGTGAAGGCTGCTGGTAGAGAACTGACCTACGTGCTACTGACTCTCCTAATATGTGGTATAATATTTACGTTCACCACAGGTAGGTGTGTTGGCCACGTCGCTGGTGGCTGGAGTGTTTGTCTCTCACAATGACACTCCCGTGGTGAAGGCTGCTGGTAGAGAACTGACCTACGTGCTACTGACTCTCCTAATATGTGGTATAATATTTACGTTCGCCACAGGTAGGTGTGTTGGTCACGTCGCTGGTGGCTGTAGTGTTTGTCTCTCACAATGACACTCCCGTGGTGAAGGCTGCTGGTAGAGAACTGACCTACGTGCTACTGACTCTCCTAATATGTTGTATAATATTTACGTTCACCACAGGTAGGTGTGTTGGCCACGACGCTGGTGGCTGGAGTGTTTGTCTCTCACAATGACACTCCCGTGGTGAAGGCTGCTGGTAGAGAACTGGCATACGTGCTACTGACTCTCCTAATATGTGGTATAATATTTACGTTCACCACAGGTAGGTGTGTTGGCCACGACGCTGGTGGCTGGAGTGTTTGTCTCTCACAATGACACTCCCGTGGTGAAGGCTGCTGGTAGAGAACTGACATACGTGCTACTGACTCTCCTAATATGTTGTATAATATTTACGTTCACCACAGGTAGGTGTGTTGGCCACGTCGCTGGTGGCTGTAGTGTTTGTCTCTCACAATGACACTCCCGTGGTGAAGGCTGCTGGTAGAGAACTGACATACGTGCTACTGACTCTCCTAATATGTTGTATAATATTTACGTTCACCACAGGTAGGTGTGTTGGCCACGTCGCTGGTGGCTGTAGTGTTTGTCTCACACAACGACACTCCCGTGGTGAAGGCTGCTGGTAGAGAACTGGCATACGTGCTACTGACTCTCCTAATATGTTGTATAATATTTACGTTCACCACAGGTAGGTGTGTTGGTCACGTCGCTGGTGGCTGGAGTGTTTGTCTCTCACAATGACACTCCCGTGGTGAAGGCTGCTGGTAGAGAACTGACATACGTGCTACTGACTCTCCTAATATGTTGTATAATATTTACGTTCACCACAGGTAGGTGTGTTGGCCACGTCGCTGGTGGCTGGAGTGTTTGTCTCTCACAACGACACTCCCGTGGTGAAGGCTGCTGGTAGAGAACTAACATACGTGCTACTGACTCTCCTAATATGTGGTACAATATTTACGTTCACCACAGGTAGGTGTGTTGGCCACGTCGCTGGTGGCTGTAGTGTTTGTCTCACACAACGACACTCCCGTGGTGAAGGCTGCTGGTAGAGAACTGACATACGTGCTACTGACTCTCCTAATATGTTGTATAATATTTACGTTCACCACAGGTAGGTGTGTTGGCCACGTCGCTGGTGGCTGTAGTGTTTGTCTCACACAACGACACTCCCGTGGTGAAGGCTGCTGGTAGAGAACTGGCATACGTGCTACTGACTCTCCTAATATGTTGTGTAATATTTACGTTCACCACAGGTAGGTGTGTTGGCCACGTCGCTGGTGGCTGGAGTGTTTGTCTCTCACAACGACACTCCCGTGGTGAAGGCTGCTGGTAGAGAATTGACCTACGTGCTCCTCGCAGGTTTACTCATGTGTTATCTCATCACATTTGTCCTTGTATTACGACCTTCTGACATCGTTTGCGGAGTTCAGAGGTAGTTTATACTTTATATTTTAATTTATCACTGCGCATTTTCAAAATGCACGCCTTAAAAAAGTTGTGTAATTGACACACATTTAGTTTACAATATTGACAATATTTGTATGATTCAATTAATGTTAGTAAATACATTATTGGATATGATCACGAAAAATGAATCAAGCTACTCTGAGAGATGAGAAATGTTTCTTATCTTTGATCGGCCACTAGCTATAAGTTCCAGGTCAAGTAGTTCTAATTATCACACTCAAATAGAGTAATTTGTGTTTTAAGATGGTATCTCCTCAATTACATATTAATAAACTTGAAATGCCTGTCTTATTTGCTTATGATTGTACTAGATTTTTATGTTGTTTAGAAAGTATTGTAACACTTTTTAAGGGACGTAAATAACATTTTCTACAACCCGAGTGTTTTAATCACTCCTAACAAATGGCCACAATTATATCCACGTTGCTCTTAGGTTCTGGGCAGGATTTAGTTTCACTGTCGTGTACGCCGCATTACTGACGAAGACCAATCGGATCTCTAGAATATTCAATGCAGGCAAACGCACAGCCAAGCGACCTTCCTATATCACACCGCGCTCCCAGTTGTGCATCTGCAGCGGGCTGGTCTCTGTACAGGTATGGTGACATTATAGCTATTATAAACCACATTTTTATGTTCATTTTGTAATTTATAAAGCTTTAAGGTTGTTGAAAAAAGGGAATTTTGTACTTAAATTAATAAGCAACTAACAGCATACATAATACTGTAAGTTAACAAGAACAAGTAAATGTAGTCTACCAACCCTCTCAGAAAACTATCGTTAGGTTGGAGTAGCTTATGTGTTTACTACTTAACGCCTTATATTACATTTTAGTAGATACAGAAAAAGGTAAAAATTTACTGTAATAACGATTGATATGGATTCGCAATACCCGTCAACAGTTCCAATAGCGATCAAGGTGTTAGTTTTTTGGCGGGAATGCATCATCAAACATCTCAGTTCAGAAAATTAATTAAATCCACTTCGATAGCATTGTTTACGGATTGAATAGAGGTGGCTGTGATTGAATACAACAACACGTTCATTCAACACAATACATAAATGCTGTGAAAATAAATATTTTTGATACGGAAGGTTTGTCAAAGACAGACAACGTTGCTGTTCCTCAAACGAGAAAACACTGTGGGTGGGTTCTAGTCACCACCTTCACCGTCAGATCAGCATAAATCAATTTCCGTTAGTTTAAATTCTATGATTATGATAATAAGGAACACTTAAGGCCAGCCTGACCTACATTAAGGTGCTACTTTGGTTTAACCTATAGTAGGTTAGAAAAGGATATGCTTTTTAGTATGATTAAATTACATTTTGTCAACATAGACTCGTAATTCATATTATATCAAGGTAAGTCTAAAATATATTTTGATTTTGAATATTCTATCATTATACTAAATAGCTGTCTAGTGAACTGGTCTAGTGGTTAGAGCACGGTACTTCGGTCCCTGAAGTCCCGGGTTCAAATCCCACCATTATCCCAAATGGATTTTATCCAAGTGATATTGCCGCAACCCCTAGGTCTAGCCTGAAGTTACTTGAAAAACAATCCCGGACTCGGTCCTAGTGTCCTAGGACAAATATAAAATGTTCTTGCGGATATGTTCATTAACACCTATTGCTCCAGTAACACAGGTAACCTTTCGACAAGTACATGCATTTACAAACTAATGTTTATTTACTACAAAGCAAACACCGCACAACTTAAATATTGGCAAAACAGCTGGTGCTACTCAAGACTTTGTGTGTGATTGGCGCCAAAATCACAGAACGGACGACACCATTTGGGTAACTGCCAAACTAAACCTTATCCCTCGTCTGACAATTACAACTAATTTGAGTGGAATGGAATCGAAACTGAGTTGAAATATGTTATCGGCTTCATTTTGAAAAGTTTGATGCAAAATCGTACAGCTTTAACAGATTGTAAATAACAAACTTTTCCCAACACATAAAAATAAAACCGTTTTTACTGTTGTAAATATACTTACTTACTTACTGATGGGGTGTCACAAATGCCAGTAGATTTTTTGCCTCGTAGAATAGCCGCCCCCACTCGTCTCTACCCTCCACCATCCGGATTTCTCCTCTGCATTGGATCACATCCTTCTTGACTTGGTCACCATCTTAATTTAGGCCTACTCAACGTCTTCCTGTTGGTACGGCCTCACAAACCTCCTTCAGTCTTGTGCCATCCTGTCTCCGAAGTACATGACCTAGCTAACTAATTATTTTGGTTTTATAAGCGATATTTTATCATGCTCTTTGTATAGGGCATGCAGCTCTCTATTTTTTCTTATGTGCCAAAATCCTTCTTCATAAACTGGGCCGAATATTTGACGAAGTAGGCTACCTTATTTTCAAAGACCATCAAACGTCTTTCATTTCTTTTGGAGAGGACCCATGTTTCACTCCCAATAAAATAACACTGTATAATGATGACAGTATAATGAATGATCTTGTATAATCTAAATTTTGAGCATCTTGATAAAAGTTTGGATGATAAAAGTTTTGTACAGGCCCCAACGCTTATTGTTGTAGGCCTACATATAACAACACTTAATGTGATATATGTAACATTTTACTGTTCCGAGTATTAATCCAATATGAATACACCAGCGTGATGTTCTATGTACTAAGTCCAATTTGATTGTGGTTGAAAGAGTTTACCTGAATGCCCTTACCTTTGACAAAGCCAGACAGTACGGATGACTGTGTTATCGTGATATCTGTCAAAGTATTGTCAAACCATACCCAATTCTAAAACTTAGTTCATTAATAAAATCTATGTATTATGATAGAATCTATTTTTGACAAACCACGGTCAGATTCTTTGCACGTTTTTGAAAATCTGTCTTATCCTTTTGGCACCAGAGTGTAATTACTGTAATTGATCTGTTTCCAACTGTTCCCATCCGCATTCAGGTAGTGATCAATGCAGTGTGGATGATAGTCTCACCTCCTCGTGCCATCCATCACTATCCTACCAGAGAAGACAACCTCCTTGTGTGTAGCTCATACGTGGACGCCTCCTACATGATCGCCTTCGGGTATCCCATCTTGCTCATCGTCGTCTGCACAGTGTACGCCGTGCTGACCAGGAACATCCCAGAGGCGTTCAACGAGAGCAAACATATTGGTGAGTTCGGAGCGTAAGAAACGTAGGGTGTGTTAAGCAAAATGAGACAGTCATTAAAAAGAAGAAGAATAGCAAGTTTACATCCTATAATATCAGATAAAGTAACACGCTCTTAGTAGACGTTCTAAAATCGTGTTTTTATTTTTTTATAAGACACTGATAACATGAAAATACCTGACTACAGCTACGCCTCACTCTTGCGTCTGACAAGCCATTACTATGACATCGAGGAAGAAGAATGAAGGTTTAATTATCTACAATAACACCCCACTACTAGGTCTGAAACCTTAGCCTTTGAAACCCTAATACATAATCACCGTGTAGGCATACTTGTTGTGCCTAGCTATAAATTGAATGTACCTAGCACACCAATTACCGTTTGAGTGTTAATTCAATTGGGACAAAATAATATCATCATTGACTTTTTGGAAAACTTTTATTTATCCAACTGATGAAAATATAGGTCAACCTTTCTATCTAAGTGTGAATGCAAAGCTTTCTGAAGACCAAATAAATTTATATTTAGCGAAAATTACAAGTGGGGCCCTTCTATTTAATTTGTATTCTATTGCAGGGTTCACCATGTACACGACATGTGTGATCTGGTTGGCGTTCGTTCCTCTGTACTTCGGAACAGGTCACAACACCGCATTGAGGATCACCTCTATGTCAGTCACAATCAGTCTGTCTGCCAGTGTTACTGTGGCTTGCCTCTTCACACCAAAGGTATTTAGTCAAAATAATTTTTCTTTATTGACTTTTGTACCGCATCTCTTTTTATCTTCTTTAAATTTACTATTTCCTAGTACTGATAATTTCCAGATATATGTGAACCGTTAATCTTCGTAAAGAGTTTTACAATGTTTGTAAACACCTACAAACCACTTTTAAAACTTGTAAAATCCACAGAGATGCAGGTCTAGAGGGGAGTCATAGAATGTGTACCTGATGAAATAGAAAATCAAAATCCACATAAGACTATTCGAGTCTTGTAAGAGCAATTGCCTCAATTTTCTAAACTTTACATTTCTAAGAAGTGTACTTCTTAGAAATGTAAAGTTTAGAAAATTTGTTCCATTACATCCCGTACGACAAGAGAAAGAATAGGTATGGACCACTAATGTTGAAGTATATCACAGGATCAGTATCCACGTAGACTTTTATTGTAACTATGTAGCTAAGATCTCCACATAAACACTGAATTTGTTTCTACAGTTTGTTAGTAATAAGACAGTTTAACTTTATACCACATTCATAAGTGTTAGCAAGTCAGAGATATAACAAATAGTTCTGCTAATGAAAATTTACTTGGGGTAATAAACCTAAATACCCAAAATTCAACCAAAACCTAAACTTAACTTGATATATTCAATTAATAATTTTTAATCTGCACTGATTGTGTATATTTGCAGCTATACATCATCCTGGTACATCCAGAAAGGAACGTACGTCAGAGTATGATGCCCAACGCTAGACTCAAGACTACCGATTGTACTACACAACACATCTCCGGGGGTCACGTGAGACCCGCCACTGTCACTGAAGTCACATGTGAGTATCACAAGCGATAACTTGATTAAGTAAGTAGTATGGAAATGGGCTGTGAGGCCCAGAAACTACGTCATTAGGGGGAAGTAACGTGAAGGGCGAAATGGATGTAGTAGATCTTTTACGTAGTTGTTATGGGTACGTCTGAGTAGTATAATTTAACAAATTAGAGTTATGACGTTGTTTATCGATGTGTGACTTTATTGATAAAAGCCAATGTAAATTAGTGATAAATAATAGAGTGTGTGCAGTTCCACTAATTACTTTAAACAATTCAGAATATAAATAGTAAGATTTCAAATTAATCTCCGTTGAATTTCAACTTTTTCAAATTCCTCCTAAACTTTTTGGATTTTCCTACAGAAATTATCCCTTAGGAAGTTTCACACATATGCCCGAATTATGCCTGATGCCTTATCAAAAACACAATCAGCAATCAGCTAAACTATTGGTATCGTCAATCCTTGTTTCTCAAATTGAAACTGCAGTGGATTCCGCATTATAAAGTTTATCCTAGTTTTTCTTTTATTCTGATGAAGTAAGATTCGAATAGTATTTGTAATTTATTATGGCATAACTTCTTAAATGATACATAATCTGATGTTTCAGTGCTGCCAAAAGTACCAGAGTTGAGATTCAGGGATGAGAACCACGTCTCAATACAGACAATCTCGAAATACACGCAGACGGGAAAAACAGAAGAGAACTCCCTGAATATTTAGCAGCCGAGCCTAGCAGATTCTGTGGTCAAGGGAGAATACCATGTCAATGTTATGGCTGATACAATTAGAACAGTTAATACACACATGAGAATAGAAGTCTAAAAGTGTCTGACGGGTTGAATTTGATCACTACCCTCACATTGTCTCTTATGTGGGACGATGGGGTAAATATCGATTGTATTTGTTTTGAAACCTTCCGATGAGGTTTAAATCGATGACTTTTATTGTTTAAGATATTTTTTTATAAATATAAAACTTAATACAAGATAGTATTTTAATCTAATTTAATATTAGATTTTTTTACAAATATGTTTGCTCAATTTGTCATTATTTAGGCTTTATGTTTGACATCTCAGTCTTTTGAGTCTAAAACGTGATTCTTACTTTACTGAACTAATAACATAATGAAAGGGGTTTTAAAATATTGTGAATAGTGACTTGTGGATTCTTCAATTTTAGATGTATGCAAATATATTGTCGTCACAAAAAAGCAATCTACCTAAACGTTAGCTGTTAATTGATGAATACTTTATTATATTACTTGTAAAACAATGGAATGTCAATAAAGCTACATTGTACCAATTAATGGGTTTGTACCACCTTGTTTTGAAATAGTTGTCAAAAAAAAAACCTCATTGTTTTATTGATTTTATTGTTTGCTCATGAACATCGCAACAGCTTATACAGACTGTCCCCAAAGTCCCGGACCGGTTTAATATTTTCTAAACGACAAAAGATAAATCAATAAGATTTGGTACATCAATACCACACCTAAAAATCTAATTTTTTAAGGAACTATAAATTTTCTGTCATATCATGGGGACGTCCCGCTAGGAGTCAGAAGGAAATCTTAAATAGAAGCATAGGTTGACATGTACATCAAATTAAAGACCTTTACTAGCAGAATATAATGCCGCAAATTTGAACTCAAACGGGTAACTGAGTCAAAAATGGCAGCCGTTCAAAGATTTCTTGAATCTGCCATTTTTTAATCATGCATTCTTTTGAGCTTGAATTTACGGTATTGTAATCTACTAGTGAAGACCTTTAATTTGATGTGCATATCGACCTATGCTTACGCTAAAAATTTTCTTCCGATTCCTAGGGCTGTCCCCCCTGAGGAGTAAGCGTATAATAGCAATGCAAATTAAATGAATCTTTGAACCACTGCCATTCTTGGCTCGGTTGTCCGTTTGAGTTCAAATTTGCGGCATTATATTCTGCTAGTAAAGGTCTTTAATTTGATGTAGGCCTACATGTCAACCTATGCTTCTATTTAAGATTTTCGTCTGACTTCTTGCGGGACGTCCCCATGATATGACAAAAAATTGATATTTCCTTAAAAAAAAGTAGATTTTAGGTGTGGTGTTTATGTAGCAAATCTTATTGATTTATCTGTTGTCGTTTAGAAAATATAAAACCGGTCCGGGACTTTTGGGACAGTCTGTATATTTGCAACCAATGATGTCAGCTAGTTTTACAGTTGGCTGACTTGCGTGCTTGCGGTTTTTGTGTTTTCTAATTGTAAAGTCGAGTGAGGGGATAAGAAAAACACAGTAAAGGTACAGGGGAGTAAAGAGCAGAAATAAACCAGTTTTGTCATTATTTGTAACCAACCACCAGTGATGATTCATACATTATCAGTGGCTAGTTTGGTGTGTCAGTTCAAGTATCCGGTATTTCAAAGTATTTAAGATTGTTTATTGTTAACTAAAATCAGTCTCTCATAAGGAAAAAGCTTACCTATTATATATTTTGAAGAACCCACTCCAATTATTTATAGAAGCCATTTGATAGTTAATTATTTAATATGTATTTCATACAAAAGATTGAAAACGAAACCGTTCCGAATTTCGTCAAGTAGACGCATCATTAAACTCTACACACTGGTACAGCGTCCACGCTTTAATAGCTAGCCTCGTGTTTAATGCACCGTGTTAGAGTGAACTGTGAACTTCAGTCCCCTGAGGTTTTTTTCGATGAATACATAACTTATATCACATCTGTGGCGATATTTTTCAACGATTTTACGGAAGTAATGTAGATTTGGATATTTTCTAATGCTTTTTACAACAAACAGTATCTCACGATGTATATAACAGTTCAATATACTGTAATCAACATTTCCTGCAAATATTTTATCATGTTTCATAAGCTGATATTGTTTTTTAATGTTTTCTACAAACATTTTCTGACTTTAAAAAATTCAATAATTAATAACTTGTATCATTAAACACAAACCAACATCTAAAGCTATACACATTTTTAATACAACAAAGATAATTTACACATTGACTGTTTATGATTAACATATGTTCTTCTTCTCACTTTTAATTTCTGACAACAGCTGGAGTTTCATAACAATGTTTGTTTCCCATGTTAATCTTATGGAGAAATACGAAACTTTAAAGGGCCCCAGGGCCTCACTCTCTAATTATTTCCAAAAAAAAAATGTTTCCTGCACAACTTCACGTTAAACTCTTTCCAATGACACCAAAAAAATGTCGATCGGTTCAGTAGTTTCGGAGGAGTAATTGTCACAAAAAACCTGCTTGCGTATTAAATAAGTAACTTGCGTATTAAATAAGTATAATAATAGAAGATTAACAAACACAGACTAAAAAACTTTTAACATTTCCTTATCAACATAAGAATTCATAATATTATATTTCGTAACTAGGGCAGTAAATGAGGTTTTGCCTGCTCGAGATTGGTTTTTAAGTTCGTGACGAAGTCGAGAACTTGAAACGGTTAAGAGCTGCAACACCATTTAGACCCGTGGTACGAACGCAATTTTTCACCACACTATACCCTATTACCACATTTAACCACATTAATAATTCACACTAGCGGTCAACACAACTACAACTTATCTAAAATATTATAGGTTATGTGAAATGTTTTGAGGAATTAGCAATAATAACGATAATTTAGTTGCCTGGACAGCGGTGACAATAAATCAGTCTATTGCAATGCATATGGATACTACTTGTGTTACAATATTTTTTCAAGTAAATAAGCAAACAGCTGGTTTTCGGCCCTAGGGATAAAAAATCTGCTCGATGCGAAGAGCAGTCGGATATGACAGCTCATAATTAGTTTTTAAAAATTGGTGTAGTATTACGAAATATTGTACTCTTAACATACTTAAATTACAACCATACCATTGACTTATTCCGGGTCTTGTTCAATCGCTTGTATGTAACTTCCACAATCGCTCTAATCCTATTCTTGCATCTGAGGCGCTTGGCAAGTTCCCAGGGTTATTGGGGCGTATTTAAGTACTGAAACAGTACATTGATACTGTATGAGTAGGATATCAACTAGTAACTCGTCGGACTATAAAAAAATAAAGTATTGATAGAATAGTTCAATTTTGACAACCCTTCCACACTTGCTTCTAAAGATTACGATCATTATGGAAATACATTGGATTTTTACATGAATAAACAATGCTATTATCCGAATAAACATAATAATCAGTGCAAGGAAGTCCACTTTGTCACGTAACTGTGGGGAAAAGCATTTTACTCTCTAGAGAGTAAAAATACTACTTAAGACCCACAACGCATGCACTAAAAATGGCAATTTTTGCTGCAGTGTGACAAAAATATTTCCCATGTTTTTTTTTTAAATACAGTACCACTATTAAATTATATAATTATGTCAAATGAGAATCCCAGAGGCCATATGAAATTGATGGACACGTTCCTTAGTGCCTGCAGGCTTACTATTCATTTCTATTTGCCGTTGATAATGTTTTTTGCATTGCAAACAAATGAAGCAAGCAATTGATTAACTAAAAAAAACCCAAAATATGATTTGTACTAATTTTTGACCCACGGCATCTATAATTAGATAATTTAAAAACGTTTCATTTAACTATAACTTAAGTAACAACCTCTAGGTATGGGAATATTTTTACTGTAATTGTTCTGTATCTATATAAACAAAAAAGTTATATCTAAATATTAATTTAAATTTTATATTTTTTTTATGAGAGTACCATATTGATTGGATATTATTTGTGTTTAAGATTGTTTCTTAAATACTACCACATGTAAACTTAATAATAATGACAAATAATATTATGTTTCATAAAAAGCTATGTTAAATAAACATAGTAAATAATCCTACGGGCTGGAAGCCTGTGTGTAGGCTCAGACGCTATCACTGACTTACGTGTTTGTTGGAAAACAAGAATATAAATAATATTCAGAGAATCTTGAAAAAAATATAATAGTAGATAATTTGTAATGTACCGGCAATGATTCTGAACCTAAATGAGTGAAATGGGCAATTTGAGGGAATGAGGCAAGGCGGAGGGCATGGACATAAATATAGTTAAGTATGGTATGCTCAATGTTAGTAGGCCTAATTAAGTAATGATTACAGGGGAATAAAGTAGGGCCAAGTCTGCCTATTCTCTGCTTTGATAAGATGTTCTGATTCGTCTACCCCACTCTATCAAGCCAGTGAAGCCTTTCTTGAAAATAGTAATTGATGGAGAATGAAACAATTGATAAAAAATACAACGGGTGATAATATTATGATATAAAACTTTTGAAATGTAAGAGGAATCATTTATTGAGTAAGACTTCGATAAATACTAGGCTTGGTTCCGAATGCGATAATATTGCATTTGAATTACTCTTATATTAGATTATTGAAGTACAGTACGATCAAATCAAAACATTTGTTTATATGATTTGGAATACACAGTGTTAGAGTAACAGCTATGTTGGTGTCTAGTTTCGTGGGTATTTTTATCATAAGAAATCTATACGTCACTCGTGATTGGAGGAATTTGAACTCGATTCTTTTTGACATCAATCTTTTTTTTACTCCTAGATTGCCCTGTCTTAATACGCCTACAGCTAATATACTTTTAAGAACATTGTGTTTTATGCAGCTAAGATTTTGTTATTGTTTTTTTTTGTGATCTAAAGAGAGAAAAGGTGTATATCTGTTAACTTAGTATTATTAAGAGCCGGCTGGAGCCAGCGAAAATTTCGCCTTTTGGCAGCGCCTGCAATACGTGAGATGCGGTAGCGCCACTATCGGTGGCCACTAGGGGAGTTACGTGCTCTTGCTCTATTGACAGAACTAAACCTAGGTTTCGAGAACAACAGACAGTGTAAACAAAACACTGAATAACCGCAAGGAACCGAGCAAGATAGTAACGTAGCCCTTCCTCGACTCCATATCCATCATAAATCATAACAGCTGAATGTTTGTCGGGTTTGGTCGGGTCTGACCTGACCTTCACTATAGCTT